ACTCGCCCACCAGGCTCATGGCTGATATTGGTGGCAGGTCAACGTAGAGGATGCTCTCTTTGACCACCCACCAATGACGAGGTTCCACCCAGGCTGAACTAGGGACGCCTGTTGAGTAGCTGGGTTGTGTGCCCATTTTCCTTGTCTCTGCTGCCTTTCCAGAACCACGGGCAATCGTCCATCCTCTATCCCTCCCTCCTCTACGCTGGCCTGTGTTCTAAAGAACCTCAAGCCTCTTCAACTGTGTCCTAACCTAAAACCCAAAGGTCTCGTCTTCTTCTGTAACGCTGCACGGCCACAATACAAGTTAAACAACGGCTCCAATTGGCCAAAAAATGGCACTTTCGACCTCTCTGTGTTACAAAATTTAGACAATTTTTGTCGCAACAAGGGCAAATGGTCCGAAATTCCCTACGTCCAGGCATTTTTTACACACCAATCCCTCCCCAGTTTCTACCCCCAGCTCACAATTTGGTCCCGCGGCTACCCCCTCTGCCCTCCCCAACAATCCCCCCTTCCAGAGGTGGCTGGAGCCAAAGGCATAGTTAGGGCGCACATTCCTTTTCCTCTATCCAATCTTTCCAAATTGGCCACGGGTTAGGCTCCTTTTCATCAAATCCTCCACTACTAAACCCAGTCCTATGGTCTCACCTGGAGTCACTTAAATGTCATCCTTACTTCTACTCTCACCTCTGAAAAACGCTTAATACGCATTTTATCACCCAATCAACCCCAACATTACAAAAAGGCACAAACATTAAAATCTGGCCCTCAAACCCCACAACGGGAATAAAGAAACCTCACCTTCAAGGTGGTCAGTAATAGGGAAAAATCTGCCCGGTGGCAGCGCATCTCAGAACTACAGACGCTTGCCTCTTCCGTAAGACAAACCCCAGCCACGCCACCGGCTCACAGAGACTTCAGAGTGCCCAGACTGCAGCGTCCAGCCCCCCCCTCCTGGACCTTGCTTCAAGTGTTGGAAACCTGGCCAATGGGCCAAGGAATGCCTGCAGTCCGGGATTTCTCCTAAGCCCTGCCCCGTCTGTGCGGGGCCCCCACAGAAAGTCAGCTGTCCAACTCACGCCGCTGCTCCCAGAGCTCCTAAATCTCCAATCCTCCGCTTGGCGGCTGGAGACTAACGCTGCCCAGGCATCTCGGAAGCCCCTGGACCAGCACGGACGCCAAACTGTGGGTAACTTACGGTAAAGGTGTCCATCGCCTTCTTAATCAACACGGAGACCACCACTCCAAAATGTCTTCTTTTCAAGGACCTGTCTCCTTGGCCTCCACACTGTTGTGGGAATTGACGGCAAGGCCTCCAGGCCTCTGAAAACTCCCCAAGCCTGGTGTCAATTAGGCCAGCACTCCTTTCCACTTTCTTTCCTAATCATCCTCACGTGTCCAGTTCCCCTGTTAGGCCAAAATATCCTAGCAAAATCGTCTGCCTCCTTGACTATTCCTGGGCTACAGCCACACCCCAAACCCGTACCTCCCTCAATGGCTCCCCTTTTGTCCCCCTACCTTAACCCTGGGGTATAAAACACCGCCCTCCCATCCATTGCTACAAGTCACTCGCCCCTCATCATCCCCTTAAAACCTTTCCACCCTTACCCTGCCCAGCCCTAGCACCCCGACCCACAACAGGCTTTAAAGCAACCTGGCCTTTTAATTCACCCTCCTGCTTCTTCAGCATCTATACTCAAAGGGGTATCACGTATCCCCTTCCAAAGCCCAAACTTTTTCCCCATATGTTATAACCTTTCACTGGCATACACGTGCTTTCCCTGCCAACTGTATCCAGTTAATTTCCCAAACCCCAACCCCACCCACCAAACAACAGCTTCTCTCCTTCCTGGGTGTGGTTGCTACTTTCACCTGCAGATACCAGGTTTTGCTATTCTAACTAAGCCATTGTATAAACTCACTAAAGAAAGCTTATCCAACCCTATTAACCCTAAATCCTTTCCTCACTCCTCCTTTCGCTCCTTAAAAAACAGCTCTAAGAACTGCTCCCTCACAAGCTCTCCCCAACCTGTCTCAACGCTTTTTCATTATACACTGCTAAAATCCAGGGCTGTGTGGTCGGAATTCTCACATAGGAGCCAGGCCCACGGCCTGCAGCCTTTTTATCCAAACAACTTAGCCTCACAGCCCTGGGCTGGCCCTCATGGCAACATGCAGCAGCAGCTGCCACCCTAACACTTAAAATCCCTCAAAATCAGAGGCTACGCCCCATTCAGCCTCTAGCTCTCAAAGCCTCCAAAGCTTTCTGTTTACACCTCACACACTTACTTTCAGCCCCTCGCCTTCTCCACCTTTATGCAGTCGCCCCTACTACTTCAACCACACCTCAAAAAGTCTATTATTTTCTGTCTAACTGTGCTCAAATTCACTGCACTCATTTACTTTTACATGCCCTGCGTTTGTTTAAGTTGCCGGTTTACACTTTGCCTCCAGGCAATTACAGCTGATATTTCACTCTTAATCCGGCTCCGGTTCTGGGCTCAAACCCAATCTTGTTAATAAAAGTGAGTGGTTGCTTATAGATACCACGAGCTTCCTCATACACCATGAAAACAAAAGCTCTCCCTCCACAGTTACCCGACCAAGTCCCGCTACAACCTTTAACAGCTGCAGCTCTTGCTGGTTCCCTTGGCATTCAGGTCCAAAGCTCCAGAAAAATGTTGTTTTATGTAAACCAGCCTTGCCTCATAGATAAAGCCATCAATAAATTAAGAGACAGGGCCCAAAAGCTCACTAATCGGGCAAATGGTTATTCTGGACCTGGCTGAACTGGCTGGACACTCTAACTGGAAGTCAGGGCTTCTTCCAATCCTTAGTCCTCCAATACTATCTTTCTCCTTCTCTTATTTAAACCCTGTGTTTTTCCAATTAATGTCTCAATTCCTAGAAAATCATATGCAAGCAATAACCAGTCAATATGACAAATCCTCCTTCTAACCACCCCACAATATTACCCCTTTCCCCAAAATCTCCCAGCAGTCTAAATTCTTTCCCATTTTTAGGTTTCAACCCTGCCCCCAATCCCGCTCGAAGAAGACTTGAGAAACTTCACCCCCAACCCCTAAAACCTGTTATCACCCTCTCTTTTCTAATTCTTTCTCTGTATTTATAAAAAGACACGTATGTCAGGTCTCCATATGCAAGCCTGGAGCCTGAAATTCTGAAGTCCTGCTTGCCTAGGCTGATGTCTCCCACCTGCTGCCTGTGTTCCCCATTGTCCCTGATCGCCCGGTGGCAGCGATTCCCCAGACAAGCCCCTCACCCAACCCTGCCATCTTAACTGTTCTTATGATCATGTAAATACCTCTCACCCAAGCCTGCCATTGTAACTGAACTTGTGGTCATGTATACTCCCTTGTCCCTACCCCCCACCACTGTAACAGAACTTACTCTGCAACACCCCTGCCCCCCCCAAAAAACTACCCAAACCTATAAAACCAACTCCTATCTCACTGCCCTTTGCTAATGCCCTTTTCGGCCTCAGCCCACCTGCACCCAGGTGAATAAACAGCCATGCTGCTCACACAAAGTCTGTTTGGGGGAGTCTCTTCATTCAAAGAGCACGTTTTTCAACAATGACAAGTCTCCCTCACAAAAAGAAGAGGAGAGGACTGGGCACGGTGATTCACACCTGTAATCCCAGCCCTTTGGGAGGCCTAGAAAGGTAGATCACGAGATCAGGAGTTCGAGACCAGCCTGACCAACATGGTGAAACCCCAACTCTACTAAAAATACAAAAATTAGTTGGGCATGGTGGCATGCACCTGTAGTCCCAGCTACTCAGGAGGCTGAGGCAGGAGAATCACTTGAACCTGGGAGGTGGAGGTTGCAGTGAGCCAAGATGGTGCCATTGCACTCCAGCCTGGGTGACACAGAGAGACAGCATCTCAAAAAAAAAAAAAAAAAAAAAAGGAGAGACAGTGAAGACAAGTCAGAAAGAATCACATCACATTCATTGGAAAAGTCATTAAAGCATATGTCCCCTGCAGCTGCATGGTCTAGTGAGAGACTCAAGTTTGGAGCTGATTAATTCGGGTTGGAGGTTTTCTATTCTCTCTGAGCCTCGAAGTTTTCATCTGTAAAATGAAGACACAACTTACAGTTGCATTTGCGAGGGTAAATGGGATGTTTGTGAACTGTCCAACAGAGTACCTGGTAGATAACAGGTGCTCAAAAATGCTCATAATTTTATCTCTAGTTGATATTAATAAGCTCATGGCTGATAGACGCATAGAAAGGGCAAAACCAAACACGGCATGAAATGTCAGCATCCAAGGGGTTGTTCATTTTATACTGGAAGACCTGTCACAATGTTGAAACTTAGTCTTTCACCAAGAAAATGTGATTTATCATGCTGGTGTAGTCCCAGCAATGTACAATCAAGATCAGGTTAAAATAGAGAAATGAAACTCAATGTGCAGCAACCATCCTGATTTTTTCTTTTCTTTTTTTTTTTCTGAGACGGAGTTTCGCTCTTGTTACCCAGGCTGGAGTGCAGTGGCGCGATCTCAGCTCACCGCAACCTCCGCCTCCTGGGTTCAAGCAATTCTCCTGCCTCAGCCTCCTGAGTAGCTGGGACTACAGGTGTGCACCACCATGCTCAGCTAATTTTTTTTTGTATGTTTAGTAGAGATGGGGTTTCACCATGTTGACCAGGATGGTCTCAATCTCTTGACCTCGTGATCCACCCGCCTCGGCCTCCCAAAGTGCTGGGATTATACGCGTGAGCCACCGCGCCCGGCCCATCCTGGGTTTTTAAAGGTTTCTCTTCATGGATTGCTTTGCGCTCCTCCTCCTGCAAGACAGAGTGGGTCTCCACAGGCCCATGAATGTCAGAAATGAGTGCAAGCTTGGGGAAGCACCTATCCTGCCATCAGGACAAAGTATTAGTGGTCCAGAGCCGAGCCCCCAACCCACGCTCTGCTAGGAACCACACTCAGCCCCACAAAAGAAAGGAAAACAGGAGAGACATTGGATGGATCTTCCAGAAGGTCTTTGTTGCAATTTTCTCCATTATTGAAAAAAAATTACATCATCAAATAAAGACAGTAGCAGCACAGCTCATTGAAATGTTACAAGCAAATTTGTTTTGTACTTTCCCTAAGAACATTACGAAATCCCCCTCCCCCCGCATTATTTTCTGTAAAATGCCTTTTTTTAAAAGCACCATGAAATCCTACAGAGAGAAAAATAAGTAAAACACCTCCACACATGGACTTATCGTCACTGTCACTGGGTCCCCTGCCTGTGATTCTGGGACGGGAAAGAGGCCAGAGGCTGGCATGTGAGGTGGTTTGTATATCACTTCTAGGCACCACTGCACCTCCTCCCTTCAAGCTCAGAGCCCTGACAGCAAAGGAGAGGTTCCGCAGTTACCTTCTGCAGCACAGGTCTGCTGAATCGATGGAGCAGGAGTCCTCTCAAAATAATCTTTTTTTTAATGCACAGGGAACTATTTGAGATTTTTCACTTAAGAATCAAGAACACAAAGTAGATACCAAATCTCAGGCACCTGTGAAAATGATAATCACTTTCAGTAAAATCAGAGACACCTCTCATTTCTCCTCAATGCCATGGCACTAATGTCATGTAACTTCTGACAGCCATGGGAGAACTGAGGTTTACATGGAGTATGGGTGGGTTGGGGAAGTTCAGTGAAGGTATGGTGCAGGGGCAGAGGGCAGGGTTTTGGTTACAGCCATGTAATTAGCATGCTGTTCCAAAGTTTCCATATGCGAATTAACAGCATCCATAATACCACATTAAATTCATTTTTGTTTTAGAGTTACCCTTTTTCTTTTTAAGGCCATTACTAGCCAGCTGTTACTGCTCACTCAGCCACTGATTTGCACACAATTGCATCATAACACTGAGAAAGAATAACCCCATATTAGCAAAATGCAACAAGCAGAGATACGGAATGTAACACTGGCTGGTTTTTGCTTTCTCATTTTACAGGGCTCCGAATGTTTGTTTTCCTATGCCTTTCCCATGGTTCAGAAACCCTGGTATTCACTGGATGCTTCACATTCTCACAAATCTAGCAGGTAAAACCCAGCCCCACCCAAACTCTGGCCACCTTCTCACTAGTCGGCAAAACCCAGCATGCAAATAGACAGGCAGCATTGACAAAGCCAGGAAATGATATCTTCTCAGAGGGAGGCAAGGGGGCGATTTCTTAATATTTAGCTCAACTAGGTCTTTAAACATGGAATGGTCCTTATAGGACCCAAAGCAGCCATTTCCTCTGGGGTGTGCATGTGTGTGTTTGCGCGTGCATGTGTGTGTGTGTGCGTGTGTGTGTGTGTAAGAGAGAGGTCTGTCTGATCATAGTACTTGAATTCATGATACGTAAAGTACTACAATTGACTGCAAATGGCAACAGCTTAAAATTCTTTAACTAGTCTTAACACCATGCAAAAAATGCCCTCACAGCATGATCCCACCCACTGACAGTACACTCAAAAGCTATAAGGGAGGACAGAAAGAGCCTACGCAGGGCATGATCCAAATTTGGACACCAGTCTCCCAAGTACATCTGGTCTCCATCAATCCCCCAAAAAATATAATCCCAAAGGGCAGGAGACTAAGCTCTTACTTTAACCTAAAATGGGCAAGACAATTAGTCGGTATTCACAAATCCAACTTATAACTTTCTTAATAAATTTAATGAACTCATGGACTAGGGAGTGTTTCTTAGAGAACTGCACTACTCCAATGGCCCTTGACAAGTATGTGTGCTCAACTCCCTTGATGTGCAGACAAGGTAACAGATATCTAGACAGGGAACTGATGTGCCCACAATCACAGGATATGACTGGTGAAGCACAAATAGTCCCAGTTACCTTAGTAACGGGCCAGAGATGGCCCAACACCACCCCAACGCCCCCCCCCCACACACACACAAAGTATACACTATCAGGTTAGGACTGGGTATGGAGCTGTACTCTTTCCAAATTTCCCATTGGCTCTCTCACCTCTCTCTCACCAGTAAACCTCCAGATCTGTCATGCATGAAAAATTTGGTGCCCAGTTGCTGGTGAAGCAAAAAATCCCACCCACTGAAGATGGCGGATGTGTGCGCTTTCCATGTGCGAAATGAAAAACATTTCTCCTAGATTTATGGTGCAGTGGGCGTGCAGACTGGAAAGGGAGGGCTGTGCTGACGTGCGTGTAGACTGCATAGCAGCGTTGCCTTATCACGTGTATTCTACATGCAATTTGGCCCCATCTAAAAAGGTAACATTTAAGTAACTTCAAAACAACTGGCCTCCCCCAAAATCTTAGTTTATGTGAAGAGGAATCCCACTTCTTGTTCTCTCTCAGCTTCTTGCGAGATTATTTTGTAGGTTTCTAAACACTTTGCACAAATATTTAATGGATCAATCTCCATAGAGGATCTTCTTTGATTCTGTTCATCCGGTCCTTGGACAAATGTACTCAGGGAATGAGTTATGCAGAAAATTTCCCCACTGCCAGCCCAAGGCTACGTTTGATCCCTCTATATGACTGATTTGACTCATTTGGTGAAGATCTATGCACACACCAACACATGCACCTGTTCCATTTGGTAGAGTATGCAGCTTAGTGCTTTGAACTATTTTTTCCTGCTGTATGCAGAGTTCCTACAAAGTTAGCAAATAAAGTGCAAAAGAGTGCTTTCAAAGGGCATTTTTAACAATAGGGAAAGGGTGCCACACACAGAATTTCCAAAACCAAAACCAAATAAATGTACAGTAGGTGTCTGCAGGGGCAACCCTCCAAGCCATGTTTACACAAAGACCTTGTGCCCTGTTGGTGGTGAAGATTCCTCCATATCTGCTCCCCACATCTGTAAGCTGTGTCCATGAAGCTACAAAGACACACATACACACAAACACACGTATTCACAAGGGTGTATGACACAGACACTATAGCGAAGTTGAAACCAGACTTTGGTCAGACTTTGAATACCAGCTCTACCACTTTCTTGCTGTGTGCCACTGGGTACATTACATAGCTTCCCTGAGCCTCTGTGTCCTTGTGTATATAATGAGTTTGCAAATACTTCCCACAGAGTGTCGTGAGGTTTTATTGAGCTGACGTTCATAAAGTGCCTAATCCTGTGCCTCGCCCACAGAAGGCACTGCACAAATGAGTCTGGCACTGCCAGATTTGGTTGTAGGGCCTGGAATTTTAACACATTACTACAAAGAAGGTACCAGGTAACACGGTGGAAGCCCAAATTAGTGAGATCCATGGGCAGTTTAATTAGGAAACTTTGACTTGCTAGAATACAGAGGATGTCCCAGTTATCTACCTATTCCTTAAAATACATTTTGTCAGGCTGGAATGATTTCCATAGCAAAACTCAACATCCATACCTGCATAAACATTGCCTCCCAAGTGACTATTTATTACTGTGTCGACACAGGATGTCACCCCTCAGCCCCATCTCCAGCCCAGCGGAGGAGTTGACTTAGACCCTCCTTGGACAGGAAGGGCCTCATCAAAGCTGATTCTTATCTGGCTCCTTCTCAAAGGCAATGCCAGAACTTCAACAGAGCCTGAAGGTCTGGGGGCAGGGAGAGGGGACTGCATGTGCTCCAGGCAGGGAAGAGCTGGGCATTTTTGAGAAATGGGCAGGGACAGGTCTTCTATGGTACCAGGTCAAGGATATCGTGGGTACAACTTTCTCTAGAGGTCAGACAGCATTAGACAGTTTCTGGAAGTCCCAGCTAGTGCTCTGAACTTTTGGTGAATCCACACTGCAGCTTAGTTATGTAAAATCCTACGAACTCTCTAAAAGGTGACAGCAAGCCTAGAACACCCAGAACCAGCAACTTCCTGGTGTTGCCAGGTCCGGATGCTTTCATGTGTGGCCCAAAGAGCTAGCTTTGAACCAGACAATTATGATGAAGACTGAGGCATACACAGGAGTATGTATTTTCCCCTTTCTGATAAAAACCCATTGAAGATTATCATCTCAAAGCCTATGACTAGCCACTCCCCAACTTTCCTCTACGGGATGTTCTAGCCTCACAGACCAATCACAATTATGATGTGTTAGCTTATCGTTTGCCTGGGAACAATCAGTCTAGGGGTGTTCTGGTTTTAGTGAATAACCGATGTGAGATGAAGAAACAGGCAAGGAGAAGAAGTGGCGTTTTCAGAATAAAGGATTGCCCAAACATAAAAGTAAAATGAAATCGTTTAAGTATTTCTAAATATCATTGTTCAACGGAGTTAATGGCACTTATGCTGCAAGCAATCAAAACATTTCAAGCTTACTGTACAAGGGGTACATTTTCTTTTTGTTTGGAGATAGCGAGATTGGATCTTATAACTACGTCTACCCTAAGACACCCAAGGGACGAAAAGCCCTGAGATGGAAAGATGCCACGGTCCTCCTCGGTACGTCTCAGAAATGCGGGATGTCTATTTTTATAAAAATGTAGGATCAGCTAGACAGAACAGCAAGCCACTGGCATCATGCAAGGCAATTGTTTTGGTATTTCTCCCGCTCTTATCAAGACAAGTTATAACCAAAGTTCCATTAGGAAAGTGAACATGGACATTTCCAAATCGGTTTATTGTCACCATTGCACCCAGAGGAAAATGCACGACTGGCCTTTAACCACGCAGCGGCGGATGTCGCGTTTTCACCAATGCTCGCCAGTTCATGAGGACCACCTACCCCCGTGAGAAAGACCAAACTCAGCAGGCTTCCGTCATTGGTGAAGGTGATATCCACAGTGTGATGTGTTTGTGATTATTTTTTTCCCTTTGTCATGAGAAAAGCAATTGCACCTTTTAATACACGTACTCTGATCTGCTTCCAACAAATTCCAGGCGCTCTCAGGTCCCACAGACATTCATTGGGAGCATAGAAAGACTAGGTATTATGCACTGAATGGTGTGTATCAAAATTCCAGCTCAGAGAACATAACAAAATGTCAACCGCAACCCTTGTTACCCATAAACAGTTCACCCCCAACCAGGTCCCCTTCTGCGTGTGCACATATCACTAACGACTCCACCAAAAAGACACACCTGTTTCTTTCAGGAGGGTGGTCTAAGGAATAGCTGCCCTTGTCCATGTGTGTGCCCAGGTGGCACTGCCCAGGGATACGGCACTGCCACTGAAACGCCCTTAACATGTACAGGCAGAACCGGCTACATGCACAGACACTCTCGGTGCGTCCCATGGCTGCTATCTGAAATGTTCTTGTTCTTTGATTCCTTTTGGCAGAGCAAGTTTTCAGTTGTTTATGGCACAGTGAAATATATTCTTCAATGCTATGTAATTTTGGACTAATAAGTCTGTTTAAGGCACATGTCTCAGTGTGAATATTAAAAACACACACACACACACACACACACACACACATACACACACACACACACACACAATGCTCAGTCCAAGACCAATGTCCTTCACATTTAGTTTCTGTCTTCAAGTAATGAGTTGTTCTCCAGCTCCCGGTCTTTGGTGTCCGTGGGTATCATCCCGTTCTCCATCTCAGCGTGCTGCTGGATACAGTCCGTCAGCATGGCTGTGCTGGAGTTGTCTGAGTTGCACATCTTTTCCGTCTCCTCCTCCTTCTTCTCCTCATCCAGGGAGTAATTCCGGAAGGTCTTGTAGATTTTCTGAACATCCTCGGGCAAGGTCTTTTTGAGGTCCTTGTTTTTCCTCTTGGTGAGTCTGGAGGTGGAGCCGAACTTGTTGATGATGTTGTCCTCGGACGCGCCCTGCCCGTGCTTGTTCAGCTGCTCCGGCCCCTTGAGGCGTAGGTTGTTAGGCCGGTTGTTGATGCTCTCCTGGGAGGAGGCCTTGAAGCGGCCCGTGTCCAGGGCGGCGAAGACAGAGCGCTTCTCTGGGGACAGCATGTCCAGCGAGTGAGCCCGCTGGTCCAGGCCCAGCCGCCGGCGCTCCATACTGCGGATGGTGGCCGCCCGCTGCAGCTTATCATGGATCTCCACGCTGAGCCTTCGCCTTGTCTCCCGGAACTCGGCCGTGACGTTGGCCTTCCACTCTGCTGCGTGGGCCTTGATTTCACCCACCTGGCCAAGAGACAGAAGAGCAACAATACACTGACAAATGCCTCCCTGCCTCGGGCCTCCCAGCACCCACAGCCCTTGGGTGTTCCCACAGGGAGGCCAGGAGGTGGCGGAGCACGTCCCCAGGGAGAGGTGCAAATGCTACCTTCTGCCCTAGTACTTCTGCCACCCAGACACCCATCCCAAACTGGCTAGTGACTAATGTGGCTCAGGGAGGCACACGTGGTGGGGAACCCCAAGAAGCCTGAGGTTTGCAGATGGTGACTTAGAGGGGACGGCGTTCTGCAGGAGAAGTTAAAATGTGGAGTTGGACAGGCCTGGCTTCCAGTTCTCTTTTGTCAATTGCATGGCCTCATTCCCCCAACATAAACTTGAGTGACCATATCTAGCTCACCTGAGATGAGGAAATGCCCCTCACTCACTCCTGGGCGCAGCAAATGTTCAGCAGGCCTTCTGCCCTCCCTGCCTTTCTGGTATTCTATCCGGGCAGGGTGACCAACCTCTCCCAGTTTGCCTGGGACTGTCCCAGTTTTAAAATAGTCCTGTGTCCTAGGAACTCCCTCAGTCCTGAGGAAACTGGGATGGTTGGCCAAATTATCCAGGCCACGCTATGGCCTCGTGCTGTGGGGCTTTCCCTGGTTTAAGAAGATGCTCCAGGGCACCTGGTAACCCATTGCCCCAGGTGAGGGTGCAGGAAGAGGGCCTGTTCTGCCAAAGCCCACAGAACAGGCCTCCTTAGAGTGGAGCTCTGCCTGAGGAGCAGCACCAAATTTCTTGGCTTTTAATAAACAGGGCTGACAGTACAAGTCCTGTGCTTCCCTCTGCCAATGAGGAATTCAAATCTGTGCATTCAGGAAAGTCAATATTCATGTTGTTCCCTTCTCTTTTGTTACAGATAATTTTCTGCAGGTCAGGTAGCTGACTGGGGAATCAGTCTGGAAATTGCATTGGGAGTACTTATGTAAGCCAGGAAAATTAGCATGCGGGCCCAGGAAAATGATACGGGAAATCTCTCCATTCAGCAACTTTCTCCTGGGGCCTTTTGTACAGAATGAAGCAAACAGAGGCTGGCCCTCTCTTGATTTCTTTGGTTTTTCTTATCTCCCTGCCTTTCTTTGGCTCTTTTTTCCCCTCCTTCCTTGGTCTTCCTCCTTTATTTTCCTCTCTTCCTAAGAGAGCTACATAAATATTTATTTTTTAATCACAAAACCTATCTTTCCTTGTTATGTCTTCCTCTACTTCCCTTCATGTAAAGTTACATACATGGCTCTGTCCACAGGGTTGAATTTGTCTCTATGGATGCAACAACCAAGAGGGAATATAAGTGAAAAAGACCCCTTGGGTTCACTGCCCCACGGCGGGCCACTATTCGATGATTTCAGTTTCTTACTGAATCAGGAGAGATTCTTGGCGTTCAGCTGCATTTCTGCACAGTTCCTGAGACTGGAAGGACAGGCTGCCCACCCCGCCCCCAGCCAGTGTCTAACTCTGCTGACTATTTTCATTTTCATTTTTAAAAAATCAGCTGTTGTTTACTAGTTTTTCCAGGATTTATGGACTGGTAAATGAATCACCATATTTTCTCACCTACCAAACAAACAAATAGGAAAAAAAAGAATCCAGAAATAACTGCTATTCCATTCTCTTTGGCTTTGAGGGAATAATTCAACATGAGGAAGCTTAGGAGCCCCCCCAACTGCACCAGAAACACTCCAGCCCACAGGACAGAGACAGGCAATTCTGGACACAAGCTCATCTGTTCCCAGGGAACATTTATAGAGTTAGGAAGGGGTCCTACCTCTTCTTTTGTCTTTTTGGACAGAACCCGTAGCCAGTCTCCGATCATACTGAGGACAGCTGCAAAGTAGGCAAGGCCAACAAGGATCCAAAACCACACTAGGGGCTTATACCACTCCCGATAATTGATGCCAGCGTTTCCCCCTGAAAACAACCAAATGTTACTTTAACCGTGATCTAGTGCATGGTCTTTGCAGAGAACACACATTCCAGTCCATGAAGTGAAGACGTCATCCATCATCACCTAACACGCAGCTGGTCAGGCTTGCTATGTACAAGGTGGATCGGGGTTAGAGGGCAAGGAGGATACACGTCCCTTTCCCAAAGTAGCCTAACTTGAGGTTTTACTTCTTTTACTTCTTGACCACTAAACCTAATACCAGAAGTAGGCCAACTTGACCTAGTTATGCTCAACCTGAGTGTGGAGGAAAAATGACTGCACTACAGGACAACAGAACCTGCCTGTCGTTGTTTTTTCTTAAACTTCACTAAATTTATTTTAATAAAAGTCAAATATCATTATATCACCAGCTATGGTTTGGAATTCTTGGAACCATTTCCATCTTAAGCACTCATCCCTTTTCCAGGAGGCAAGTGGAGGTGTGAAGGTAAAATTAGGTAAAATGGTATTACTGGGACTTTGATACAAGCAGTAGTGATTTAATGCTAACTGAGGACTGGTGTTTACATAGCGCTACTCCAAAGGGTCAATTAGGCTGAGTAATTAGAGTCACCATAAGCTAGAACTAAAAGGGACCTTTGAGGCCAATCCCTTTATTTTATAAATAAGGATTACAGTAAAAATCCATCAAACCAAATTGGCCAGTTGCCTGATTGCATTGATTGGCTGTTCCATTGAAAGGACTAGTCATTTATTCTGAATAATTAGCCTATTTATTCTAACCTTCCTACAGGTGATGCTGGAGGTGGCCATGCAAAACAGGTTGCAGGCCCAACCCACCCTCCTAAAGAAGAAGTGCGGAAGCTCCTGGAAATGACAGACTTCAGCTTCAATCTCTCTCTGGGAAACGCTGTTGCCTAACGAAGCAGGCAGTGATCGTTTCTAAGGCAACAGATATTAGCAATGGATTGGTAACTATGGCATTGGGTGATGAGTGATTAGAGACTTTCCCACTGGGCCAGAGTTGTAATCACACCTAGCACCACTGAGTCTTACAGCAAAGGCAGCTGGGCAGGAACTGTGGCCTGTGGCTCCTCTCGACACACCCAAACGCAATCTGCGACAGAGCCCAGCACACCACGAGGTCTTGACAGCTACTGCCACTTCTGGATGTTAGAATTCCAACTTCTCTGTGCCAGGCCCCATTCGGTTTGGTCCGTCCAGCTGCCTTTGGTTTTTCCCTTCAGGCAACTCTCTCCTGCATCTTTAGAGCTCTAGGATACTATTTGAGTTCCTGCACCAGCAAGTGGTTTTTGAGGTTCATTTCATTTCTGTGGTTTCTGTGCTATGCCAGAGAAATCTGTAGCTTTCTCCTGTGGGCTGTCTGGAAGTATTTACCTTTTTAAGTCACTATCATCCAACAAAGATGGTCACTAGGGTGCGCTAGTGAACAAGGAACAATGAACCAGGCAGTCAACACCCTCCTAAGAATCCCTAAGATGAGTGGCTGGTCTGGATTCAGAGTTCTGTGTGTGCTCCCAGACAGTTGCAAAATACTGTAAGGCTAAAATGAGTCAGCTGCAGAATAAATCAGCAATCAATCCTGCAGGATCAATGTTCTGATTCCATTTCTAGTAGAGTTGGTACTATGTCAAATCAGAGCAACCATCAACTCTTGTTAACGTATCTTTTTTCAGTGATTGGGCAACCTTCCCTATCACTCTTAGACTCTTGCAGTATTTCGCAACTCTGTCTGGGAGTACACGCAGACCAAAAGATAGTGACAACTTCCAGTCTTTTAAGGCATGCATTCTCAAGATCAGTCTGTGTAAGCTCTGAAAACTGGAGCTTAGAAGGGACCTAGCCTAATTGCAGTTGGCACTGTGACTTTTTTTTTGTTGTTTTTTTTTAAGACGGAGTCTTGCTGTGTCGCCAGGTTGGAGTGCAGTGGTGCAATCTCGGCTCACTGTGACCTCAGCCTCCTGGGTCCAAGCCATTCTCCTGCCTCGGCCTCCTGAGTAGTTGGGACTACCGGCACGCGCCACCACACCCAGCTAATTTTTGTATTTTCAGTGGAGACGGGGTTTCACCATGTTGGCCAGGATGGTCTTGATCTCTTGACCTTATGATCCACCCACCTCGGCCTCCCAACGTGCTGGGATTACAGGCATGAGCCACCATGCCCGGCCAGCACTGTGACTTATGAGACTATGGTCTGCAGAAACCTCAGGACAAAGGCAATATGGCTCTGAATCACTGACAAGGGCAGTAAAACTCTGGATACCTGGGACTACATAGGTTGTGCCCTTACTAGGTAAGTAAAGATAAGGTAAAGTGCTAGTTTGTACTAAGTGCTCAGTCTATGTAGATAATAATAAATGATAAGAGCAGGCTGGGCATGGTGGCCCAGCTTGTAATCCCAGCAACTCGGGAGGCTGAGGTGGGTGGATCATGAGGTCAAGAGATTGAGACCATACTGGCCAACATGGTAAAACCCCATCCCTATTAAAATACAAAAATTAGCCAGGCATAGTGGCAGGTGCCTGTAATCCCAGCTACTTAGGAAGCTGAGGCAGGAGAATCGCTTGAACCTGGGAGGTGGAGTTTGCAGTGAGCCGAGATCACGCCACTGCACTCCAGCCTGGTGACAAAGCGAGACTCTGTCTCAAAAATAATCATAAGAGCATAATTTAAAAAAAAAACTCACTCCCAGGGCTCTGCTGTTTGTGCCTCAGATTAACAGACTGAACTGAGCCATTGGTTAAAGATCTGTGTCTGTCACAAGTATCTTATTAAAGATAGTCCTCGGGACAGCCCAGCGCTATCCCAGAGAGCTCTAAAGCACTACCCGCTGCAGATTATGCTTTGGGTACTTAAGGACATTTGGGAAATAGTTCAAAACTCCAGCTGCCACTACATGTGTTTATCTTAGATTGGAACCACCACTGAGTTTTCCCATAGACCGGCTACGGATGATGCTAAGGAATTAACTGGAATACATGTCTAACTGCTCCTCTTGCTTTTCTCAGTTTCTCTGTGTGGTATCTCTTCAGAGCTTGAGGCTACTAACTAGACATCCATGGCTGGGCACTGTGCATAAGGAAAAATTGGTAGAGTCCCAGCCACCCAGCTTTCTGTAAATGACTTTTAGTCATATTGACTAAAAATCAATTTTTAGTCAAAAGTCAAAAAAAACTAAATTTTTGTCACTTTGCAATTCTTAGTCCTTAACCAATAAAAAGGAAGGAAAGAAAAGCCCTACTATTTCTATAATGTGGACTTCAGTCTTTGTCTGCCCAATTGGAAGAGCTACAAAACCACTCTGCCGGTTATTTGTATTAAAAAATTAACAGGGAGGCACCTGCACCTCTATTGATGAACCTTTAGCACCTCTCCTAGAATTTCCTGTTTATCAGACTCCCAGAGACCTCCATGGAGAAAGCAAGACTGCTGGGATCACACGCCAAACAAGAACAGTCTGGGCATGTGCAGCAGCTCACACCTGTAATCCCAGCACTTTGGCAAGCCGATCACTTGAGCCCAAGAGATCGAGACCAGCCTGGGCGACATGGCTAAATCCCATCTCTATGAAAAATACAAAAATTAAAATTAAAAATAGCCAGGCATAGTGGCACACGCCTGTAGTCCCAGTTACTCAGGAGGCTGAGGAGGGAGGATTGCTTGAGCCTGAGGTCAAGGCTGCAGAGAGCCATGATCACACCACTGCACTCCAACCTCGGCAACAGAGCGAGACTCTGCCTCAAAAAAAAGAAAACCAGTCTGCTTAGGGCTCAGCTCAGGCTGCCGCTTAACCAGGAACTGGTAAATGAAACACACACTTTCTTTCTTTCTCTCTCTCTCTCTCTCTCTCTCTCTCCACCCAGACATTTCAAACTTGTGATAGATGATAGAGTTGTTTGATCAAAGTGTTCACTTCTTGTAGGAGAAATTGATCACTTCTGAACACCTAGAACTATCCCGTTAGAAAAAGAGAGGCCGGGCGCAATGGCTCAAGCCTGTAATCCCAGCACTTTGGGAGGCCGAGGCGGGTGGATCACGAGGTCAAGAGATCGAGACCATCCTGGTCAACATGGTGAAACCCTGTCTCTACTGAAAA